CGTTCGGACCAAACATGCGGCAGAGGAGTCACTTGGAGAAGAAGCCGAGAAGCACGCTTCCCAGCTACGTAAGAGGTGCCAATGATATACTTGCGTTGTGTGACTTTGAGTTGGGTCATGTGTAGTGTAGGTGCTGGCGAGAAGTGTGGTTGTTTGGTACAGCCGACGATGCTCTACCGCATGTTTTCATGGAGATGCCTGTGGCCAAATAGGCTCATGCGGCGAGTGAACGTGCGTGGACAGTGTGGACAGTTGAGGCGATGGCTTCAGGTATACGTTGGTGTCCCAGGCACTGGTTCAACAGGCTTTGTGCAATGAATTCGCAAGGAACCGACCAGGCCGGTAAGTGAGTCGAATGGGCGGTGATAATGTGGGTAAGGTAAGTCGGGAGCTGTGTAGTCGGTTTCAGTGATGATGATGGTACCGCTAGTGATGGACGTCTCCTGGCAGCTGTTTAAATAAAGAAGTTGAAAGCCCGCCGAATTCTCATACAACATATTACTGATTCGAATTGGAGTGTAAATTTATAAGCCGCATACTCTAACGGGGAACTACCGACAGAGAATAAAGTATTCCAGGGTATCTAAAATTACACGGAGAGAGGAATTATCCCTAAATTTCAACGGCTATCGTCAAGATTTTAGAGACAGCTGCGTGGGGGTACAGATGCATTATTTTGAGAGAGGCGGACCGAAATTCAGACGTAGAAAACTTTACATGTTGTTCCCGCATCAGGAGAAAGTAGTACTCATCGCTAGGGTCGCTGCTTTTGCAATTGAACTTAGTGATATTCATGACCTCAGAAGAACTAATGCACAATGACCTCCAAAGGATGGTTCAGCTCAGCCTTTGCATGCCCATCTGTCCATGACATGATTCAAAGCCCATACATCCTGTGTGTGCCTCATGGATCAAAATAATATTGCCAAGATAGTCGTACGCCGGTCAGGCTCATGCGGTGGGCTATTCAGCTTTGTCGGTCACTGCGACCGATCCTGCCCCCCGGTCTTCTTGACCCTTTATTGACACCGGGATCAGGTGCATGTGGGAGGAGAGAGTTCGGTAGATGCTGCGAAAGTCTGCTATCATTATCAACTAATTCACGTGTAATTCCTCGTCATCGTGTTCGTCCTGCTGGGGGGCAGGGGAGGAAAGGGTAGACAGACGGCGGACATCGTTGTTCGCGACGACTGAAGTAACGTAAATAGACAGTTCAACCGTCGCAACCGACGATGTCCACCGTGTGCTCCACAGTAAGGTGAAGCAGCCACGGTGACTGGCGCATGAACTAGTTTATAGTAAGGGTAGATTTGCGCGGCATCTACCACAGTCTCTCTTTGCCCTCCTCACCCCCGGCCGGTGTCACGACATAGTCAAGAAGACCGGAGGTGAGAGATGGCGCAGGTGGTTGACACGGCCGGAGCCACACCTAGGCGTACCACCACACCTCCTGGTCCAGACAGCAAATGACCAGGATTTTTCGCCAACAACACCCCAACAGGGGACAGAGCGACAAAGATGACTGGGCAGCCATGCCCACCACCTGTGGACCTAGCGGGGGCATAAGCGCATCTACCGGTAGGGAACCAAGTGCCGGGAAGCCGCCAGCGCATACCAGGCTGGTACAGACCTTTTGACCTAGCCACCGCACCCACTGGTCTCCAAAAAACACTTGGCCATGATTTGGCCAACAACAGCAGCACCACGACGAGTCAGAAGTACGACGAGGATGATTGGGCAGACAGGCTCACTACCTGTATACCCGGCTGGAGTGCAAACGCATTTACCGGCAGGTGTCAGAGACACGTCAGCGCGCGCCAGGCTGCGAGAGCCATGACTTGCTGAATGATGGCATATCAGACGCTAACAGTAGGATGAATGACAGAATACATGGTTGTCAGTCACCACATCGAAGATCGAAAGGTCGAGATAGATTTTTGTGGACAAAAGTTGTGTATTTCTCGACGGTTTTTTGTCAGTATACACTCGAGCTCCTCTTCAGCAAATCAGACTGACTATGAACTGAGCCAAAAACTTCAGCGGCGAATAAAAATACGGCCACTGGTGGCACTCGAGAATGGGCTGTATAGTAAATAAAGGTTCACTTCATCCGCGTTCAGATGGAAATCCGACTTGGGAACGGCGCATCCTGCAACTGAACGCAAACGTGAAGCCAACGAAAGAAAAAGTGTGCGTGTTCCGATGTAGCGGCATCTTTTCCCCTTCTTCTTCTTCTTCTTCTTCTTCTTCTTCATCATCATCTTCTTCTTCTTCTTCATATTCTTCTTCCTCGTTTTCTATTTTTCTCTTCTTTTTCTTTTTCTTCTTCTTCTTCTCCTTCCTCGTCTTACTTTGAAACCAATTACGAAGGATGGTGGCAGTGGCCCTTGCAATGACGACGATGAGATTCATGCCGCCCTTCTTCTCTTACTTCGTTCTAACACCTTTCTTGAGGAGAAAGACAAGGTTAGCCTATCCCACAGAGTGACCTCATCCCTTCATGACGTTCAGTCACGCCGAGTAGCCAGGACGCCAGTGTCGAGACAAGACCAATATATCCCAGTGCGTCCCAGTCTTCCTCAGGCGTCCTCTCCTTACAAGGCTTTGTCGATATCCTCCCGGGAAAGTGGGTTACATAAAACATCTTTGATTAAGAAAGGACCATATTCCGCTTCTGAAAAGAGAAGTGCTTCACTATCTGTGAAATATCAACGGGCGATCCGCATTTACAAATTTTTTTTATACAGCATTCATTTGTGTAAGTATTATGTCTGATTCAATAGTTAGGAGGTAAAATGGTGCCGATCCTTTTATTTTTTGCCTGGACTAATACCAATTGTGATCTCAGTAAAATCCTCAGAATCCACCATAATCTACTATTTTACTGTACCTCAGTTTTAAGGTAAACGGTAAGTTTGGTGAATTAAAATACCATATTCCGTTTCACACCCCACAAGGACGACAGAAATGGAGCTTTTTGGTACAATATGAAGGGCAAACTTTAATGAGATCACTTAGTTCCAGTCCAGATTATTTTTTGGTGCTAGAGGGCTGCTGGTATTCAGATTACACATGGCAAATTGGCGTGAACAACGCTGAAGCCGGGAGGAGACATGAAAACTAGATAAATGCGATTATCAAAAGCTTATACTTACTCGGAAAATGCTCTGCCTATACAATACTCCAGGATTTCGTTTGGAAATCTCGAAATTCCAACTTATATGCAAAACAAAATAGGAGAGGAAAAGCAGAACGGGAGTTTAGAGTCGCAGAATGTTTGCTTTCTAGGAAATTTGTAGGGTTTTAAAACGATGCACCTGTTTTTTAGCATACACAGTCCGAGGAACTAATGACGCCTATCCAAGAGAATACGAAAACACCTCCCATAATGGGTGGGGAAAGGCCAAACTAGGTACACAAACAGCGCTGTTCTCGCTAATGGTGTTGATTACGGACGTCCTGTGGACCCCAGCGAAGCGCGTGATTTATAAAGTTCCATCGACCTAGCCTAAGCTACCGGGTCAGCGTCTGTGAGCAACAGCAGAAGCCAACGCTATCAGGTTACAAAAACCAATCTTGTGCACATAGAAGAACTACGCTCAGGCTCCGCACATACAGTGGTCGAAGGTCGACTAACGCTGAAACTCCCTGCGCCCTGCCGCTCTCACCCCGCCCCCGGCATTGACTGCTTTTACCCACCCCCCACATTTCTACACCACGCCTGTGTTTTAAGATGTACTTTAATCAATTTATCTAAACACTGACATGTTTTTCCTACTTCCAGGTCTGAGGAGAATTAGTTGAAAGCAACGTAAGCTCGCCAATTCGTACTTTGATTACTGCTTTGGAAATTTTTGCGACTCCGTCTGTCGCGTAGAGATTCTGGATTTGACTTGAATTCCGCGTTCCGATGACAGTTCGACCATCGGTTTCGATGATGTCCACCGTGTGCCCCACAGTTGCAGCAGCAATGGGAGCAGGGACGGTGACTTACGCAGGGGTTTATAGTGCCGGTAGATTTGCGTAGCATCTACCTACACTCTCTCCTCCTCCCTCGTCCGAGCCCGGTGTCAAGACAGAGTCAAGAAGACCGGAGACGAGAGAGGCCGCAGGTGGATGGCTCGGACGGATCCTCACCTTGGCGTTCCACCACACCCCCTGGCCCACACAACAAATAACCAGGATTTCAACCAACACAAGAGAGATTTGGAGGCTGGCACGACCGAAGCCGCACCTGGGCGTCCCTCCAACGCCTGGCTCGGATCCCACACTGTGATGGGAGTGCCATAAAGGCCACATTAAAAAGGAGCCATTGCAGCCTGACTCTCAGAACGCCTCCGGTCAAGGAGGAGGTCCAAGTTACCCCGTCAGTTGGCAACCTTCCAAGCCACGGCTTTTAGCGCACCGTGATAGCTTCAAGCGCGTCAGATTGATTATAGTGAGGAGGAAGTGCGCTGAGTCGTCGACCTCACTCTCCCTTCCCACTCCCTCACCCCAGCCGCTGTCCGAGCCGGTCAGCAGACTGGAGTGGGGAATGGGTGCGGTGGCTGTCATGGTCGACTGACCATAACTGCGCTCGCCACAGCACGACCTGGCCCCCCCATACACACAACACCAGGATTTCACACAACGGGGGTTGAACGGCGTGTTTCTCACTTGCGTGAGAGTGCCGTGGAAGGTGCTGTTTCAGCCCCTTCCCAGCCCACCAGTCCGCCACTCCACACAACAAACACACACAACGCGACGAACTGCGTGAACCGAGAGCGGGCGTCAATCAGCAACCTTCCTATCCTCGACGCTTGACGTGTCGGGATAGTCTCGGACTCAAGTCACCCGTGCAGCCGAAGCCGCATGGGGACCGAGTCGAGATGCACACTTCCCACTTGCGTGGGAGGTGGCAGTTGGGTGCATGAGGTGTGTGAGTGTTGATTTCTGGTGGGGTGATGGTGGTGGTGGAGGAGGTAGGGAGTGAGTGAATGTGTGGTGTGGCCGGCGGTTGTCTACCGCAGGTCGTCGTGGATGCGCATGTGGCCGAATAGGCCCATGCGATGCCTGAAGGTGCGAGGACAGTGTGGGCAGTTGAGACGAGCTTGTTGGGTATAGGTGGGTGCTCCAGGCACTGGTTCGCCAGTCTCTGTGCGATTGATTCGCAAGTGACCGATCAGGCCGATGCGTGAGGTGAATGTGCGTGGACAGAGTGGGCATGAGAAGTCGGCGGTGTCAGTGTCAGCTACAGAGGAGGCGGTGGTGGTGGTGGTGGCGCGGACGGATGGAACGAGAGTGGGGGTGTGCACGGTGGATGTGTAGGATGTGGTGGGTGTGTCGGGAGTGCGGTCAAGGCCGCTCTCGTGGATGCGCATGTGGCCGAATAGACCCATGCGATGCCTGAAGGTGCGAGGGCAGTGTGGGCAGTGGAGGCGAGTGCGGTGGGTGTAGGTTGGTGCTTCACGCACTGGTTCGCCAGGCTTTGTGCGATGGATTCGCAAGTGACCGACCAGGCCGATGTGTGAGGTGAAGGTACGGTCGCAGTGAGGGCAGGTGTAGTCGTGATCCTCATCCCTGGAGTCGGGGAAGGTGGTGGTAGTGTCGGTTGCTGTGCGCGGGACAGTCGCCTGAGCGGCCGCCGTTGGAGCAGTGGGCGAGGAGGAGGAGGAGGAGGATGATGGAAGTGGTGGGTCAGAAGAATTGTCAGGGTTAGTTGGCGGCGGAGAGGAGGAAGAGGCAGGCGGGGCGATGATGGTTGGTGCCGTTCGAGAGGCGCAGTTGATCCGAAGATGTCCAACAAGTCCGACTCGAGCCCGGAATGTCCGTTGATATCGAGGACACGTTGGAAGCGGTTTTGCGGCAGCGTTGCTTACTGGGCGAAGTTGTAATTTGCGGGCTTCACGTTTCGCTTTGGCGGCAACGATGCGGTTGGCTTCGTAGATCGCAGCGCCTATCTTCACTGTCCTCCTCCAGGTCGGTCGATCGAGTGCGAGCTCCTCCCAGTTGGTGGGGTTGATTTGCAGGCATTTCAGGGAGGACTTCAGGGTATCCTTGTAACGGCGAATCTGGCCTCCTTGACGGCGAGAACCCGTCGCGACGTCTCCTTAGAAGAGTCGTTTGGGTAGTCGCTCGTCGTCCATGCGCACCAGGTGGTCGCTCCAGCGCAGCTGAATTTGCCTCAGTATGGGGTAGATGCTGAGGATTCCCGTCCGTTCCAGCACATCAGTGTCGGCGATTCGATCCTGCCACTTTAGCCTCGGGATGCGACGAAGACAGCTGACGTGGAAGTGGTTCAGACGGCGTGCCTGCTTTGCGTACACCGTCCAAGTCTCCGCTTCATACAGTAGTGTCGGCAGGATGACGGCCTTGTACATCTTCGGCTTCGTGCTCAGCTGAAGACCGTGGCGATTCCAAACTGTGCTATGGAGGCGACCGAAGGCTTGACTGGCTTTCGAGATCCTGTTAGCGACTTCATCGTCGATCTTGGTGTTGCGGGAGAGAGTACTGCCCAGGTATGGGAAGTTCTCCACCACTTGAAGTTGGGTCCCATTCACGCTGATTTGCGGCGGCGCGTTGGGGGCTGTGGTCGAGTTGGGTGGCGGTTGGTGCATCACCACCGTCTTCTGTGTGTTGATGACCAGACCGAAGTTCTCGCAGGCGGCGGAGAACAGGTCCATGCTCCGTTGCATCTCCTCTTCCGAGGTGGTGTTCAGGACGCAGTCGTCAGCGAAGAGGCGTTCGTGAACGGTGGTTGTGGATACGCGCGATTGGAAGTGCATCCGCCGTTGATTCAGCAGGTGACCGTCCTGTAGGCAATGCGGATCCCGGGGCGTTTGTCGCGGTAGGCGTCCATCAGCATGGCGGAGAACATAAGAGTGAAGAGGGTAGGCGCCAGTACGCAGCCCTGCTTCACTCCATTGGTCACTGCGAATGCCTCTGAGACAGCTCCGTTGTCCGTGACTCGCGCCATCATACCGTCGTGCAGTTGACGCACCATCTGAGTGAATCGCTCCGGACAGCCGAATTTCTGCATGATCTTCCACAGTCCTCCGCGATTCATCGTGTCGAAAGCTTTCGTCAGGTCCACGAAGGTAGAGTACAGGTGGGTCCGCATCTCCTGACACTTCTCCTGAAGTTGACGGGCGGCAAAGATCATATCCGTGGTCCCACGAAGACGACGGAAGCCGCATTGGCTTTCCGGCAGAAGGCCCTGTTCCAGATGGTTATTGAGGCGGTTGAGAGGGATGCGGACGAAGATCTTCCCGGCGATGTTCAGCAGGGAGATGCCGCGGTGATTGTCGCAGACTTGGCGATTCACTTTGCGCTTGTAGAGATGCACGATGGTTGCGTCTTTGAAATCTTGCGGGACTTCCCCGTGACGCCACATCTCTTGGAAGGGCGCAGTCAGGTGATCCATCAGTTGGGGACCTCCGTGCTTGTAGACCTCAGCAGGGATTGCGTCCGATCCGGCTGCTTTCCCGCTGGAGAGCTGCTGCACGGCCGTGATGGTCTCCTGGAGAGATGGCGGGAGGTCGAGGTCCACGTTGGTCTCCACTTGCGGCAAGCGCTCGATGGCGGCGTCGGAGATGACGGAGGGGCGGTTGAGGACGCCTCGGAAATGCTCGGCCCATCGCTGCAGGATTTCCGTCTTCTCAGTCAGGAGAGTGTTGCCGTCGGCGCTGAGGAGAGGAGCGGTGCCCTTCGTCGGCGGACCGTAGACAGCTTTGATCGCAGAGAAGAAGTTCTTCCATTCGTTGCGGTCCGCATACCCTTGGACCTCCTCAGCTTTACGAGCAGTCCAGGCGTCCTGCATCTCGCGCAGTCGTTGCTGAAGTTGGCGGCGACTGTGGTAGAAGGCAGCTTTGGTGGCATCAGTGGGGTGATCTACGTAGGCTTTGTGTAGGCGGTTCTTCTCGGCAAGCAGAGTTCTGATGGCGGCGTCGTTGTCGTCGAACCAGTCCTGGTGTTGGCGGGGAGCGCGACCGAGGACGGCGAGCGCCGTCGACTGGACCGTGTCTCGCAGTTGACACCTGCGGTTCTCCACGGAGGCGTTCTCAGCAGCGGCGGCGTCGTCGGCGGCAGCGATAGGAAGGTTGTATAGCCTTTGAGCTAGCTCATTGCTGAAATGAAGATGGTGAGCGGGCAAAGACAACAGAGCAACATTCAGCTTACCTGGGGGTCGCTTACCTTGTGGTCTCCTGCGAGGCTGTAGGCGAATACGCATCTTCGAGATGACGAGGCGATGGTCGGTCCACCCGTCAGCACCCGTCACCAGTACGTCCCGCTGATCTCGCCTCCGCACGAGGACGTAGTCCAGCAGGTGCCACTGGCGCGACCGAGGATGCCTCCAGGTGGCCTTCTCTCGCTCCGGCAGACAGAAGAACATGTTCGTCAGGATGAGGCCGTGTTCTGCGCAGGTGCGGAGAAGCAGCAGACCATTGTCGTTTGAGCCGCGGAGACCGTGGGGACCCAGCACTCCTCCCCAGGCAGTATGGTCCGTGCCGACGCGGGCGTTGAAGTCACCAAGGACAATCAACTTGTCCGCCTTCGACACAGTCGCCAAGAGGGCGTGCAGGTCCTCGTAGAATTTGTCTCTGACGGCGTCGGGGTTGGTCATGGTCGGAGCGTAGGCACTGATAATGGTGGCGAATTTGCCTCCCCAGAGAGGCAGGCGGAGGCTCATCAGGCGATCGTTGATGCCCTGCGGCAAACACGGCAGTCGTCCCACGATGTCGGTCCGGATGGCGAAGGCGACGCCCGCGTCTCGTCGCTCTGCCCTGGGTCGACCACTCCAGAAGAAGGTGTAGCCGGCATCCATCTCCTCCAGTTGGCCTTGTTCGGAGAAACGGGTCTCGCTGAGTGCGACGATGTCCACCTTGTAGCGCGCCAGTTTTCGTGCCACTAGCGCCGTCCTCCGTTCCGGTCGGTTGCTCCTCGGATTATTTAAAAGGAAACGAACATTCCAGACTGCCAGAGTGAGCGGGCTCACCCTGCCAGTCTGGTGACAACGAGTGGGGCGACGGGAAGGAGATGGAGAAGAAGGTGACGAAGGAGAAGAATAGGCAGAGGAAGAGGAAGAAAAGGTAGGATGAGGAGAATGAGTATGGTTGTTGTTGTTGTTGTTATTGGTATTGTTGTTGTCTCGATTTTGATTGTTTCGACCATGATAAGACGTCTGCGGCCCTGGCTAGCCTGGAGACGGCGTGGTACCCAGCAATGTTTAGGCCACCTTTTCTAGGCCCTTCCCCTCGTGGGGTCTGGCAATGCCGCCCCTGTATCGGGCTGCCCATGTGCCGTTGTGGCACGGCCGAACTCCACTATGGCACCACGACTTCGGGTTGTAGTGGAGAGCGACTCGAATTCGCCGTAAGCCGCGGTCTCCGACGGCGTAGGTGGGCGCGTCAAGGCGATGTCGATGTGGAGATCCATCCCGTCACCGGCTGTCCAGCGGCGTGCAGAGACGAACCACGTCACGACGGTGCCGACGCAAGGTTCCATCCGACCTTCCATTCAGCGGAATCCGCAAACCATGTGCACACGGCACAGCGCACAGGGCCCCCTCACCCGGTTTAGCCCGCCGGTCGAGACGGTTGCCCGGGGTGTGGCCGCTGAGCAGAGTCCAGCTACGTGGAGCCACAGGTGAGAGTTGAGTGCCAGCAAGTGGACGCTAGGCGCAGTCTCACCTGCAAGCAAGTGAGCGACCACCACGACCATTACGTGAACCCACCGCTGACACCCCTACACCCCCCGCGTTCCAATAATAACAAGGCAAACACAGACGATCGACAATCGAAAATGGCCTCTGTCCTTTAATGATCATTCTTAATAAGAAACTGGCGATGTTATGGCTCATTCACTGTTTCATACATAAGAAACGTCCTACCAATAGGAACGTGAATAAACTTTATTGCGTTCCTCCGCTGCTCACATATGACAATTGTTAGGTAATGAAAAATCACATCAGTCAAAGTAGCAATTTTCAGTATTTAAGCTAACATTACGATGTACTTTTCCTATCTAGCTGAAATGAACACAATGACGTGTTTCTGAGCGGTTGAACAAGTAATAATCTTAGTTCGACATTGGATGACGTTCACGCTGACAGCGTCCCTTTAGAAGCTTATGTGACGTTAATGGGCTCTGTACAGGATTTTGCAGTTTTCAAACCGTATTCGGATTAGTACTGGCTAATGTCTGTTTGATTGTGCGAAGAAATGTAGACGAGAGATTTTTGGCAAAATCGCTTAAGCTCAAATCCCCAGCTAGATGTCTCGTTCTGAAGTCAGAGCCGATACACACACACACATTCGACCCTCGATTTCGACGATGTCCACCGTGTGCCTCACAGCGGCAGCAGTGGGAGCAGGGACGGTGACTTGCGCAGGGATTTATAGTGCCAGTAGACTTGCGCTGCATCTACCTATACTCGCTCCTCCTCCCCCGCCTGAACCCGGTGTCAAGACAGAGTCTAGAAGACCGGAGACGAGGGAGGCAAACACACACACACATTCACAGACATTACGACCAGTAAATTAACTAAGACCAGGACGACGTCAAAAGCCTGAACCTAAACGAAATATTTGTTGTCGCTAAACTTTTCATCACTCTTCACAAACGTTCGATTCCAGAGACAGGCGATTACATCGGTATATGATTATCGGCCGGTCAAGAGAACTTAAGAATAACGACGAACGCACCCAAAGCACTAATACCAAGATGCAAGATAAATGGGCAGTCCTTTTTTGACGACGAACTATGAAGGCAAATAGACGGCATTGGTATGGGCTTGCCTCTTGGTTCCCTTTAAGCCGGTCTTCAAGAGTAAACTAGACAAATTTCAACTAAACGACCAGATCAATTGGATGAGACATTACGGTCGGTATGTTAATGATCTCTTCGCAATCGCTACCGCAGAAATCAACATAAGTGCTCTCTTAGATACTGCAAACCAGGCGAATCCAATTATCAAGGTTACGGCGGAGACGACAGGTTCGTTCCCTTTCTTGAAATACCATTTTAAACAGAAGAGTTGACGGTAGCGTTTGAAGTAGCATCCATCGGAAGACGATGTGTTGTTGATAAGATACGAACTTTTGCGGTTTCGTATCCCTTCAGCGGAAGCAGAGTCTGGTCCGTAGTTTGGCAAAAAGGCTGGAAACATATGTTCAACAGTCAGAAGAGACGGGAAACTTAGAAAACTCTAGAACATGCTTCGCGAGAGCAGATTTATTGCAAAGAATATTACTGAGAGACTCACAAAACCCATCACACTGACGGCGGAAAGAAGACTCTGCTCCTAAAAGCCCCTTTTCAAGCGAATTTCTGAGAAGAAGCCCAGACCAAGTTGTATCACGAACATTCCCAGCGACAGGAGCTCGGCTATTATTCTCGAACAACCCTGTTCTACTCAGAAAAGGCAAGGATAGGTTACCAGCTCAGAACACCTCTTTCACTTGATCCTGTGAGGCAGGCTTTATTGGTCGCACGAGTAAGCGCCTATCCAAAGGAGTACGGGAACACTTCCCAGCATGGTTTAGAAAAGACGAAATTAAAAATATAAACAGCACTAGTCTCGGACATATTGTTGCTTTCGGCCATCGTGTGGACCTCAATGAAGCCTCCTGTGTGATTTACAAAGTCCCGTCGAACTGCACAAAGACCACTGGGCCAGCGTTTGCTTGTAACGGCAGAGACAACTGTCATCAGGTAACAAAAGTCGGTCTTCTGCACACAGAAGAACTTGGTGCAAGCTCCATGTCCACCGTAACCAAGGGTCGGTTAACTGCATGAATTCCTTCGCGACCTCCCTTCCCCCTAACCCTCGCTGCCTCCAAATCCGCTCCCTCTTATTACCTCCCCCTATTCCCACATTCACTTGCGTGAACGAACGAGCTGTAATCGATTTCTCTTAGCGCTCACATGTTCTGATGTACCCCGTTCCCATATAAAAGTACTGGTGCAATGAGGATTTGCCGAGAAGATACTTATAGTAACAAAGTGGTCTTCTGAATCCTGCCATGGAAATGTTCTCACTGCTGGGATATCTGCCAAATTTTTGCTTTATACATTCAAAACGCTCGTCATGTTTGTTTCAGTGTTGCCTGAACAGGCAATCCCCCCAAATGCTGTGGGGTGCAAGGAACGTTTGACAGGAAACCACTTCAAAACAAGGCGTCGACCGCAAATTCTGCTACGTGGGCACACGTGTAAGTAGAACGTGGCTAGCAGTCAGACCGCCAAAGCAATTCTCCAATCACAGCCGTCAGCACTGGATTAGAGAGCTCAATACAGTTTTGGTACACATTTATTTACGTTGTGCACAAACAGCACTGCGAGATTTCTAGGAAGAGTGCACGTGCGAGCTGCAGTGGGCACAGTGTGTCGGTCTCTGTGTCACTCAGCCGTTGCCATACCGTAATCTCAAACATGGAGTCATCGAGCATGACGAAATCAGACAGGGGGGAAATTTAATTTCGGAGACGTCTTTCCACCAACCCGTGCCACTCACATCCGCACTGAGGAAAATAAGTGATCAGGAAGAAATCAGAGAAGAAAAAAAAACACTGACGCAGGCGACTTGCATGTTGACGTTTCGGATGCTGTCTGTAGGAGGCGCTTTCCTCACCTGTGGACTTGGTGCACTAGTTCGAAATCGAAAAAAAAACTTTTAGTGAATTATCGAAGGAGCATGCTGATGGCGTTAGGCCAGAAGAAATCTGTCCACGCAAGACCGCGAACAATATAAATAATGAGTTAAAAAAATTCTTCATTTAAACCGGCCATGGAAATAAGAGGCCCACACTCCCAAAATGTACTCAGGGCCGAAAAGAATGTTTGACTGTATTTCTTTTTAGGTTCCGAGGCGTGTCGGGTGCCTATGCGAGTAGCTTCATCTCTTTTGTGTGGCATGCGAGACCACCCGTTTTTCATTTTGGACAGAATGCAAACAACGCAAGTATCAGTTAACACAATCGACACGCGAAATCGGTCACAAACAGTTCAATGTCACCGCATAAAGCAGGTTAATGAAGAAGAGTCGGACCGCGAAATTACGATATCCGTTCAGTATATGTACGTGCGCGAATAAAGTTTTAGTTACCCGAAGCTTATATGGGAAACGCAGAGACTGAATTTTGGGCAGAAAGATTACTTCAATGTCGTCTTCCCCTACGGACACGACGAGAACTAGTCCACTGTTTCATGTAATAACGAAAGATAATTAAGAAACGTCCTGTCAGTAGGTAGCATAGGCAACCAGAATTTTACCACGACCAGTGTGTAAGTAATTTTTTGGGTTTGTACTTTAACACTAGTGTCTGATCCGAATTAGACCGATCATGCTGGAGAATAGCCTTCGAAAGAGAGTACCCCATAAAACAGATAGCGTGAACCCAAGGCATAGATCACTTTCCCCTCTAATAAGCATCTCTTGCAAGTCTGAATGTAACCATGCCCGAATTGCCCTATATGTACCCTACAAGAGAAATTTGCCCCTACTACTACTACTACTACTACTACTACTACTACTACTACTACTACTACTTCTACTGCTACAGCTATTACCTCAATTAGTCCAACAACTAACACTGCTACCACCTACTATTTTCCAAGCTCTGCATTTTCGCTGTTTATTTGGGTTAACTTCAGGGTTAATCTCCTGTTAATCTCCTCCTGTAAAGCAGTAAAACACGTATTCACTAGCTATTCAGGGTTGCACATTTTAAGAATGCTGCAGCCACAGGAGCCAGGACTGGCCACTTGCGCGCACCAGGTGGCCAATGAACATGTGCCACGCCTTGTGAGTTGACCAATAATTTCAGCGGCGGTTGTGTGCACAGTTCGCGTTCTGTGTGCAGAGATTAGCGAAACAGCGTGGCACTGTTCACTCGGACAATCGTCGTTGCTGAATAATCAGGTGTAGCCAACGGTCGGCCATAGAGCCGCGGCATAACCAGAGGTCAAGCTGACCAAAAACAATCGAGCGGCGAATCACTGATGAAGTAGAGCGTGGACACTAAAAACTCACCACTACGGTAAATCATTGCACGGTTCTGGCTGCCTGTTGGCGGTTTGTGAATATTAAGCGGTTATTCCGCAGTAGCTGATGGATTTCAGTTCAAATATTCCTATCAGAATTTGGAGCATGCCTGAAAAGGCCCGTTTCGAAAGATTTACTCCAAGTTCGCGTATTAATTTCCTTGAAAATTAAATATGGCAGGTTGAAACTGGAGTTCTTATACCAGAAAACACACGGGAAAGCGGGGGGACCCACTGACGAGCCGAACCCCTCGCAGCTGCGTTAGGCAGCGGCATAAGATCGGCGAAACACGCGTGTCTGGGCTTTTAGCTAATACCTGTGTTGTTTGTACGGCAAATCATTGCACAGTTCAAAAACTCAATTGTCGAGCGCATTCAAACGACCCGATTTATTTGTTGAATCAAACAGGATCATACGAGGGTTAACACATGGCAGGACACGAGCGCACAGGCCTTATCTGCACGGAACGATTGTTAGGATCAACTGGGAAATTTCATGTGCTAATATAGCCTGATTGTATGTGGCAAACAGGCGGTTCTGGTTGGTTTTGAAGCTGAGGGTCCACAGGTCGTTAAGGGTGGTGTTTAACGCTCGAGTGACTCCGGCATAAAACTTCAGCTTGGAATATCATTGGCTCATGATGGCACTTAAGGCATAATGGCCATACAGGCATCCC